GGCAAAAGACTTCAACAAGAAAGTCAAAAAAGAGAATACCATATGTCTGGTAACATATGAAAAAGTGCTTAACTTCACTAGGTGGAGGGATTTGAAGAACCACTACAAAAGGACAGGGATAATCCATTAGCCTGTCCCTGGCCTGAATGAAAGACACTTCAAGACTAGCTTGCTCCCCTCTCTTCTGATCCCACTTTCACCAGGCAACCTTCTCGTCAATGTTTCAACTTCCCAGAAGGGTATCTGAATGGTGGACACAAGTGTTCCATTGACTGCAAAAGGAATATCCCCAGAAGTAAACGTGTTTTGTGCTTTGTACATCCTTCCTGTCGAAATTGCCACGATTCTGACCTCAAGAGCCTGATCATCTCTAGGTACCCTGAGAAAACTGTTCAGGGGCCTGCAAAACTAAGGCCAGATCTTGGGTCAGGGTGAAGCAATACGTATACTTCAAGAATTGGCCTGCCTGACTAGCTGGCCTCCCCTGGACATCCATGTCTCCTTGTCTAACGTGAATAGTATCTGATCAAGAATGAAGTTAGATGCTTCACAAAATAAAAAATCCAAAATAACCAATACCTATAGGAGAAAATGTTCAATCTCACTAGTATTCAAATGAGCGTGAATGAGAAAGCAAGGAGAAACTCTTTTCAATTTGTCAAAGACTTTTTATTTTGAAATAATCATAGATTGACAAGAAGTTGCAAAAAAAAAATGTACAGGGAGGTTCTATGTACTCTTCACCCAATTTTCCCCAATGATAATATCTTGTGTGACAGTTACAAAGCTGGCGAAACACTAAACTCCTCACGTAGCCCGAGGACTCCTTAAGGGTAGGATCTAGGTCTCATTTACTTCGTCTCTCCAGAGCCCGGGAGCACTTAGCACATAGGATTAATTTGGCATTGTCAGTTGATTTACCGACAGTAGCACATAACACATCAGTGCAGTAACAAGAGGAAATAACAGACTCTTCAATTACAATGATAACATACAGGAGGCTGGATGTCCCAACGGGTTAGTGTTGCCAAGCTCCGTCTAATTCACAGGTGACTTAATCACTCTAATAAAACAGAGTGATCCAAGCCTACTTTCTTGCATCAGTTCTTTTTGTCTACTTTCCTTTCTCATCATGCAAATCCTCGACTATTCAAATTTAGACTGTTCATATATTCATTCTGTCACTATTTAACAAATAATTTTGGGTACCTTCTTTTAGTCACCGTACAAAACCCAGTCAGACCCCCAATCCCTGGCCTCAAACTGTTTACAATCTATTGGAAGGTGACCTAAATTTATATTTAGCCAGTCAGGAAGTAGAGACCTTTGAGCATTATATTTCATATATTGTTTATCTGAGAAAGGAAGTCTAGGTACATGAAAGAAACAAACTGTTACAGTAAAAGAAGAAATTGGATGGAGCCAAGGAAGGAGGAATCATCTGGGTGCTAATGTTAGTGGCAATATGCATGCTTCATTTTTAAAGTGAAGATATCCTTTCCCTGCAACATGAACTAGTAAGACAGAGGTCCCCAGGCTGTGGAAAATTCCACTGCTTTAAGCAGCCTGCTTGACATGCCTCTAGCTTTACATTAACATCCTGGTTCCCCTTTCCTTAACTGCCGTCCAGAACTAGATTAAATTGGCTGAAACAGGTTTAGGTGCCATATTGACATTCTGGGTAACCCTTTAGCTCATTAAGTACCTCATACATAGTAACTTCCCCACATTTTGGGTGGAGACGGGCCACAAATTTTGAACATGCGATGTATGAAGTTATATGTTACCCTTACTGCGCCTGCGTAGCATAATTAAAAATGCCAGTGATGTAATTTACATGATCTCCTTGCTTGTAAGCCCTATAAAAGCGACCTCCCTAAACCCTATCCTCGAGGAGTCTTGGAGGCACCAGCCCCGACTGTTCCTTTCCTTGCGCAAGGAAATAAAGCTGCCTTTCTGATCTCCCACCTTGGCCTCTTTATTGGCTGTGATGAGTCATGCTGAGCAGCACCTGGAGTTTCTGGCAACACTAGTATTAGAAATGCAGTGAAGGGGAAACGAACACACTTCTAGAATTTCCTGATTTCAATCGTGTGTAGACCATAAGGGTAAGTGTTGTAGCTGGCTGCAGCACAGTAGTGTCATTTTAAGAGTTAGTTGGGGTATGCATATCCAACCAGTGCCTTACCAATCGGTATCCCCTCTTCCCTTGGTGCCCTACAATATATCCTTGTGTGTGGCAGATAAGTCTTGAAGCTTTTACAGGTTTATCTGAACTACCGGAGCCTCTTTAATCCTACAAAACGCAGGTTTTCAGCAAGTCAGATTTTTGGCTTAAAGGTGGTGAAGATGGTAGAAAAGGTGAGAATCTGGAGGCTTGCTTCACAATTTTGCCTTGGGCCTTACTGAGTATGCAGATAATTGAGGCTACAACCTGTTTAACTACCGATTAAACTGACTCCGACTCCAGGCGACTCCACGTGTGTCAGAGTAGGACTGTGCTCCGTAGAGTTTTCAATGTCTGATTTTTCAGAAGTAGATTGACAGAACTTTCTTCTGAGGTGACTTTAGGTGGACTCAAACTTCCAACCTTTGGGTTAGTAGCTGAGTGCATTAACTCTTTGCACTACTCAGGGACTCCTCATACCTTGTTATAGATTGAATTGTGTTGTAAATCCTAATCTCTGCCTATGGTTATAATCCCATCTGTGAATGGGTTGTGTTTATTGTGTTAATGAGGCAGGATTAGGGTGTATCTTGAGTCAATCGCTTCTGAAATATAAAAGAGATTAAACAAGCAAGCAAGGGAGCAGAGATGGAGGAAGAGAGATGCCAAGCCATAAGAAGATGGCCCAGAAGCAGCAGCTCAGAAGAGATAAGGACCTTCCTCCAGAGCCAACAGAGAGAGAAAGCCTTCCTCTAGAGCCAGCACCCTGAATCCAGTCTTCTAGCCTACTAAACTGTGAGAATATAAATTTCTGTTTGTTAAAGCCACCCACTTGTGGTATTTCTGTGATAGCAGCCCTAGATAGCTAAGACATTACTCTATTACAATATAATATGGTTATAATGATAATGAGAATATGTTGTGTTCTGTACACACAGCCTAAAAAGAAAGAGAAATTTGTGTTCCTCTTTAGAAAGAATTTTAAAAGCTTCAGTGGGACATTTCAGTGATATGGGAAACTCAATTATCAGAACCAAGTGGTTCTCTCCTGGGGTTCCTGCATTGATTGTTACCGTGGCACTGACCAAGAGGGCTCCCAGGGCCACTAAACTCTTCTAAGCTCTAAAAAGCTCCTGTTTTGTTCCTGGCCTTTCAGCAATGCCCACAGCACTGTCTCGCGGATAATAGGTGCTCAAAACCAAACCCATTGCCTTGGGATTCCGACTCATAGATAATAGGTGCCCAAGCAGTACTCGTTAAATGATCAAATGCTGGTGGAAGTCTAAGGGCAGGGATGAGACGGGTGTGAAGGCGGACTACCAAGACCTGTGCTGAGGATGGCGTAGGGCCTGAGAACTGGTTTCAGGGAACATACAGGAAAATCTGACATCATCTTAATCTTGAAAATACTCCTACAGAAAGAAAAATACTTAGTTCTTTTTTTGTAATTAATAATGTTCAAATATTTTGAAGCATCTTGAAAAAAATAAAACAGTAAAGCCTGTGTATTGTAGGCTAATTGCTGTAACAAATAGACCCCAGAAAAAAATGTGTAATGGCTCAAACACAATAAAGGTTATTATAGTAAAAGAATAAAAACAAAATTAGAGTACTTTCGAGCTACTTTGAACCAGTTTCCCAATATCCCAAGCATTACCAAATTATATTTGCTGCTGTTAGGAATGTTCATTGGCTAGTGGGATCTTTCTGTCCGGCAATGCATACTCATTGGCCCAGCAATTTCTCTTCCTTAAAATTTCCCAAAGAATTAAGGAGGCGATTAACTACCTACTAGAGTTGATAGCATAGTTTAGAGCCCCAGTGACCCTGTGGTTAAGCGTTTAGCTGCTAACCAAAAGATGGATAGTTTGAATCCACCAGCCACTCCTTGGAAACCCTATGGGGCAGTTCTACCCTGTCATGTATGGTTACTATGAGTTGGAATATACTGGACGGCAAGTCTGGGAAACTGCACGTTAGTCACGTGGGAGGCATATTTTGTTTTTTAAAAGAACAGAATCAGAATCTTTGGCGGGGGGTGGGGTGGGGAACCAGACACTAGTATTTTTGCAGCCAGGATAGAGAATGAGCACCCTAGGGCAGACTAAGTAAAAAGTGGTATAGCCAAACAATTTTGTAAATTAATTTGTCTCACGTGCAATCTGATTCCATTTCTGCAAAGGAGAGCGTAAGACGAACTAGCTTAAGTTATGGGAAATGTTTGGTTATAGTTATTTGCATTACAAATTTTTTTACAATGAAGTCATGGATGTTATATTAAGAAAACTATATAAAGTCTAAAATACATTTTTTGCAAACAATATAGTAGCCACTATTTATGGTGGGGGGAGGGATGCAGTGGTTAAGCATTTGGCTGCTAACCAAAAGATCGGCAGTTCGAATCCACCAGCCGCTCCTTGGAAACGTTATGAGGCAGTTATACTCTGTATAAGGTCGCGAGGAGTCGGAATCGATTCGATGGCAGCGGGTTTGGTTTTCGGTTTATTTATTGGGGCCGTCTCGGCCAAGCACTGCCCCGGGAACTCTTACAGAGCCGGCTTTCCAGGTACCGCAGGTATTTGCCATCGGGCAGACCCCAGCCTCGCCGGGGCCGTCCCGCCGCGTAACGTTTGCAAGATCAGACGTCGCCCGCCCAATCCGCGCTCCTCTGAGGCCCCGCCCCACTTCCGGCGGCTTCCACTCCGCCCATCCCACGCCTCCCGATCCGCTCGCTGGCCTCGTTCCTCCAGCCTCGCTTTCGCTCAGCGCTGCCTCCTCTCCTCCGCGGCCCTCTGGCTTGTTTTGTTTGCGACGCTGTCGTGCGACGGCACGCTTTACGGCCGCGGGGACGGAGCGAGCCGGCGCGAGGGCCACTCGGGCCCGGAAGCGGGGCGGGCGAGCGAAGTTGATGCGCGGTGGCGGGGCGAGCGCGGCGTCTGGCCGGCTTCTTACCGCCGCGGAGCAAAGGGGGGCCCGAGAAGCGGCAGGGTCGGCGTCGAGGAGCGGCCCGGGAGTCTCCGGCGGCGGCAGAGGCGGAGCCGGCGTCCCCGGGCCGGGGAGCGGCGGCCCGGGGTCCCCCGCGGGCAAGATGAGCTTGACCCCGAAGGAGCTGTCGAGCCTGCTGAGCATCATCTCGGAGGAGGCGGGCGGCGGCAGCACCTTCGAGGGCCTGTCCACGGCCTTCCACCACTACTTCAGCAAGGCCGACCACTTCCGCCTGGGCTCGGTGCTGGTCATGTTGCTGCAGCAGCCGGACCTGCTGCCCAGCGCGGCGCAGCGCCTCACGGCGCTCTACCTGCTCTGGGAGATGTACCGCACCGAGCCGCTCGCCGCCAACCCGTTCGCCGCCAGCTTCGCGCACCTTCTCAACCCCGCGCCGCCCGCCCGCGGCGGCCAGGAGCCCGACCGGCCACCGCTCTCAGGTACGCGCCGCCTGCCTGCGGCGGAGCCCGGCGAGCCAGGTGGATGCGCCTTCGAGAGTCCACCCGCCAGGGAAACCAAGTCTCCCTTCGACGTTAGACCCTCCTCTGGCCCGTTCTTCTCAAGTAGGAGAGGGCGAGCTCGATCCCACATTCGTGCGATTGAAAATCATTCCGCTCAGCGTGTGTCAGGCAGCTCTGGGTGAGGCCTGCCGTTTTAGTGTCTCAAATACGGTCCGTCTTCTCCAGCCCGTTTGAAGTGTGCGAAGCTGTAACTAAAGACGCAGAGGATCTGGCCCCAGTTTTAACCCTCAGATAAGTAAATGGAAGTCAGTATTAAGGGCCGAAGAAGCTAAATCTGTGGTTAAAAAGCATTTAAGGGCTTTGCAGCCGGCATCTGAGGTCTGTTAGTTGACATTGGCCGGTATGATGGGGGCAGAGGGTAGGAGGTAGTCGCAGCTTGACGGCAGGATCAGAAAACGCGCGACTGGTCAACTGTATAAACTGTAGTTGTGCGGCACTGATGAGATCAGGTCAGTGGGTGAGAGGTCAGGCTGCGCTTTTTGTTTTGTTTTTAGAGCTCCAGCAGCCCGTGCTTTGTGAGGATTTACTCTGGGTGAAGACTTGCAGCCGAGAGAGGAGAAAGGCAGAGTGGATGGTGAGAGTGATTGGGGTCCTTGGGGGACTTAGATGACGACAGGCGTAGTGGGGGAAGCAGGTAAACGAGGGAGAACAGTCCTTAAGCAGTGGAGACAGGGTAGAGTGCTCTACGGTGGGCCTGCTTATACAGATAGAAAGTTAAGGCAGCAGCTTTTGAGATAATCCCAGGCGGGTTTTGGTGGCGTATGAGGGCATCTACATTTTAAGCTTGTCAGGTCTTCTGCCTTGCGGCCCCACTGGATCTCAGGTACCTTTTGATCAGTTTCCTGCACTGCCCTTATGTAAGAAGAGCACTTTCTGTTGGGCTGAGGTGCCCTTAGGGTACTGGTACTTAACCTGGCTTCTAGGAAGTTTGTGAACGCCTCGAAGGTGAATTCAGCGTGTGTGTGGTCAGAACCCACCATGCACCCTAGGATGCCCCTATTATAGGATGAGGACAGTGTAGGATTTAGGTCAGAGGGCCGTTTGAATTCTGAAGGGCCGGTGAGGCAAAGAAATCCCCATTTATATAATGCCATCTCAAACGCAGTGATTCTAAACTTGAACCCAGTCCACAGACTGTACTGTACGACAGATTTGCCAAGGGAGGTGAGGCACTTGCCAGGGAATCCTTGGATGGGTTATTTAACCTCTCTGTGCCTCAGTTTGTTATCCGTAAAATGGGGATAATAATAATACCTACCTGGCAGGGTTATGAGGAATGGAAGTCCCTGTGATGTTACTCCTTATCAGCGTCACTGTTGATAGAGTAGGTAGAGGTGGTGCAGAAACACACACAAGAGGAAGTACCAATGCCTGCCAAGACCCCCTTCCTAGAGCTGATCTGTATGTCGACGGTAAGCATCTGCTGATGTCAGCTGTCGTCAGGTTGACTCTGACTGATGGCGACCTTACGTACGACAGAAGGCGGTGTTACCTAGTCCTGCATTATCTCGCCATCACCAGCATGTCGGAGTCCATTGTTGTGGCTCTTGTGCCAATCCATCTCACCGAGGGTCTCCCATACCACTTCTGGCCCTCTGCTTCCCCAGACAGGATGTCCTCTAGGGACTGAGCCCTCCTCATCATGTGTCCAAAGCAAGTGAGTCAGACAGCGTTCTGTTGTGCTCCATAAGATTTTCGTTGGCTAATTTTCAAAAGCAGATCGCCAGGCCTTTCTTCCTAGTCTGTCTTACTCTGAACGTTCCGCTGGATTTGGCCACCATAGGTGACCTTGCTAGTATTTGAAACATTGGTGGCATAGCTTCCAGCATCAGAGCAACACACAAGCCACCAAAGTACAGCAGACTGACAGATGGGTACTGGAAGCATCTGATCGATCTATTTAAAAAAAGCTTTCAGATGAGGCAGAGCCAGGGTTTAGACTGTCCCCGTACATAAGTAAGTTTCTCTGCACTCAAGAAACTTGCAGGCTGATAGGAGAGACATAACCCTAGTGGTAACTAGTGTGGGCGTGGTGGACCTGCGTAATCAGGAAGGTGGTCATTAGTCTAGGCAGGAGGTAAGAGAGAGTGGGGAGGAATGGAGTCCTGAGACATTTCGGGGGGGAGGATAGATGAGGGTTGGGGAACTGCTGGGTTTGGGACAAAAGGGAAGGAACGTTTGCCATAGTGGGAATTTTGTAGCTACACTAGGTACTGAACAGGTATGTGAAGTGTATTTGCATCGGTGGTGACTGCTGCCTTTTTCAGTTTCTACACAATTGCTGGGAGCAGCAGAGAAAAGTATTTCTGCGTGCTGTGATTTTTTGCTTTTGATGGCATGCATAAGCTTTACCCTTTGCTTGAATTGAGGTAAAGGGCTTTAGAAAATAAAGTTCTTAATAGTTCTAAAAGCCTTAAGTTTTATTCATATTGCTACAAGTTGTAGAGTTTTAAAAGATGTATCATTCATATATGTAGTATATATTTGGTTACCTGAAGCTTAATTATGAATCAGGCTTTAAAAACGTGCACGGTGAAGTGGCAAGTAGCAAATGCTAGTTTTACCCATTCAAGTTAATTTTTGTATGTAACCTTTGGTGAAACGCTATTACTTTTTCGTTACAGGATTTTTACCTCCTATAACTCCACCAGAAAAGTTTTTTCTTTCCCAGCTGATGCTGGCACCACCGAGGGAACTCTTCAAAAAGACGCCTCGCCAGATTGCTTTGATGGACGTTGGAAACATGGGCCAGTCTGTGGACATCAGTGGGCTTCAGCTAGCCTTGGCCGGTAAGGAGGACTCGGCGGTGGGGCATTCTCATGGGGAGCATTAGGGAAGGGGGACTCGGTGGTGGGGCATTCTCGTGGGGAGCACTCGGGAAGGAGGACTCGGTGGTGGGGCATTCTCATGGGGGGCATTAGAGAAGGAGGACTCAGTGGTGGGGCATTCTCATGGGGGGCATTAGAGAAGGAGGACTCAGTGGTGGGGCATTCTCGTGGGGAGCATTAGGGAAGGAGGACTCGGTGGTGGGGCATTCTCGTGGGGAGCACTAGGAAGGAAG